AACGCCATATTCGTTAGGGGGCGGAGCGTCCTGCAGCCTCTGAAACTCTTTAGTGTCAGAAGCGTTCTGTTGAGATGCTTGTCTACCAGTCCTAGTCTATTTATATATATATATATATATATATATATATATATATATATATATATATATATATATATATATATATATAAAGTGGTGCTTTATGGCTATGTGTCGCAATACTCATCTGCTATACATACTATAAAAGCTTTTTCTTTAGGACGACTTGGAGTACGTTTTGGGTACTAGGAATTACAACAAGATTTATATTGGCATGGTTTAAATACATAAAAAAGATCACCTTGATAGACATAGAGACACACAAAATGTTAACGTCCTGCCAGTCTTTGTTTTAATGGCATTATATAGTACCTCAAACTGAAGATAGAGTGATGAGTGCGTGATTTCACGATATTTAATATATATATGCCAAGTCGCGAGCTGCTGGATGACGTTGGTCTATTTTCCCGTGCATGATAGTCAGTGTTATACCTGCAGTACAATTCGCATGAGTGCCTTTTCCCGGCCATTAGCGTTATTATATACATGTATATGTAGGCCTACATCTACACTATATCGTGTATTGAGTTTTAGTTCCACGCGGCTAGTAATTAGTCTAGCCTGCCTCTCATACCGTGATGAATTCCTCTTTATAGACCCTATTTATGTGTGCAGGAATTGAGAGGAGTCTCTGAAGCTAGTTTGCTGTCAAAATTTTCGTGTTTTCTTAAAAATCATTTACAAGTTTAAAATATAATTTAAAGTTTCAGCAAAGATGGAGGGAAAAGGACCACAAATGATTCAAAAGATTCATGTTCTAAAGTCGGCATAGGCTGAGAGCGAGCTGCGCATCCCCTTCCTTTTTTAGGACGGGGGCGTAGGTTTCCTCATCGCTGTCTGAACCAAATAGTGACTCCACCTCCATGTCTACTATTGTCCATTCTCAGCCCTCTCCTACGGTGTCAAAATTACAATGACAATGCATGTGGAACTACTGATTGAGGTTTTCAAAAATAACCAGAATAAACAGACTGGAAATAAACTCTATTTTGACTGCATTTTTTCACTGCAGTGGTTCGGCTTCGACGTGGGTTTCAAAATCTTTCTTTTGTGTGACTCAGTTTAATAATTATTACTTAGCACTCTTCGCGAGGTACTTGACTCTCAGGGTGGAGACACTGGATCTCAGGGTGGGGACACTGGACTCTCGGGATGGGGACGCTGGATTCTCAGGGTGGGAAGACCAGCGTGAGAACACACCTGAACTTGCACGTGTGTTGCAACACCACAGAGCAAACACAGATATGGAGAATATATATTTTCTTTTGGCTTTTTAAGTTATGTGTGGTTGTTTTTACCACATCATATTGTATAGTCAGACACATGTAGAAATCTCTACATACTCTATTGGGGAGACTGTGTTGTGCCGTCCACTTTTCCCTGGTATATTATTACTAGTAGGGTCTCTATGGGGACTTCACTACTGTCTTATCATTTAAAACGCGTGAGCAGAGGTCACATACGGCTATAAGTAAATAAAACAAGACCATCTTGAAAAAAAAAAAACATACAGACAGACACGATTTAATACCATTAGTCCTTAGATTTTGTATCTCAATATTAAAAGCGCGTGGTATAGTGCGTCTGCCCCGGGTTAAAAATTGCGTAATGATTGCGTGATTTCATGAATTAGTGAAAGCTGTTGACATTTAAGAGACGTTGTTCAAATGGTATTTTTAGAAAATAACATAACACTGATGATGTACTGTACGCCTACTCTAGCAGATCTGATAGCACACAGCGTTTTCCTTCTTTCTTTTCACAATCTTTTTTCACCAGGGACGTCTTTATAACCTTACTAGACCCGGAAATAGTCTACCTGACGTCATGAGGAGACCAGACCGAGCCGGAAAGATTATCAAGACCACTATCACACCTGAGATTTCAATTTCCGACAAACAAGTCCAGTTAATTAAAATGTCGTGAGGCTATTTATGACAACTTGCAGTGTCTTTATTTTAGACTATATAAGGGCGATAAGGTATCAGTTCCGAGAAATGTAACAGTTAATTAGTGTCTATATTTGGACATTATTGCCTCAAGGAGTGTTTTAACTCCTAGTTTGCCCCATATTCGGACAAGATGACAAGAGGTACATTTTACCCTGCTCGAATTTGTTTGCCATAGCCAAATAAAGCAAAGTCCATCTTTATCAGTGATTCACTATTATTATATGTTTATCATCTTTATTACTTTTATATCATGTAGCTTGCTAGAACGGCTTGACGATGATAAGACAGTGATAAGAGTAACACTATCAGAAATGATAGTGGATTTTAGAAGAAATCAGAATGTAAAGGTACGATTCACCATTGGTAATGTTGAAGTTAGTAGGGTAGAGGAATTTAAACTACTTGGTATACACCTTAACAGTAAATTGAATTGGAAAGATAACACCGCAAAGAGTGTAAAGAAGGCACGGCAAAGACTGTATTTTTTAAGATCATTGAGAACTTTTACTGATAGCGTGTCTATTTTAGTCAATTTTTACAGGTCTGTAATTGAAAGCATTCTAGCGTACGGAATTATAATATGGTATAATGGAACAGCTGGGGAGGAAAGGAAGAAATTAACAAACGTTGTAAAAACTGCAAGCAGGATTATCGGGCAGGATCTCCCCAATGATATTTTTAAAGACAGGATGGAGAAAAGAATTGTCAACACCATGAAAGACTCTTTCCACCCTGCATCATCTCTTTTTACGTTTTTACCAAGCAACAGTAGACTTTTAACCTTTAAAGGCAGTAAACGCTTTTTAAACAGCTTTTATCCAAGTGCAGTGACGCATTTTAATTTGATCTCAAAACTAAATTCTTAATTTATTTATTTACTGTATTATTTTATTATTTTACTCTGTATATTGCTCCAAAAGGAAAATGATTTCCGATTTTTATAATTGGCTAAATAACCTCTTATCTTATCTTATCTTACACCCCATTTCCATAGGAATTTTTAGATCGATCTATCCCTGTGGGGAGTTTCACTAGATTACTGTCAGCTTGGCCGGCTTAAGCGTCTGTCCCGCCTACTAAAAGCTGTAAGGGGGTAATTAACTATGGTTCCCGCTCGGCTGACTGCAATTTAGTGTAAACCCCCAGGGAGTTAGGTCGATCTATATCTTAATCTTTAGATCGATCTAAATCTCTGGGAAAGCACCCTTACTTAGTTTCTAGTCCTGTGCTGTTGATATTATTTCATACTAGCGGACATAAAGTTTACCTATCTGCTAACTGGATTGCAAAGTCACATCAGGAAATAACACGATCAATTTTTATTTATTTTTCCTTTACAACAAGTGTAACGTGGCAGTATTTTAGTGTCCAGTTTACTATGACATTCTGTATCCTGATTGAAAGGGGAAATGTATGAGGGAGAGGAGGGAGGGGGGGTGGCGGGGTCAGTGACCTTCATTATGTAGTTCCCGACCAAGGTCTTTCGTATCGTATGTCACCGGGCGATTACATAACACGGATGATAAGGAGGTCACTCTCTTTATTGCTACATACAAACACAAAGAAGTAATGCCAGTAGATAATATTGTCCCAGGTGTGGACCAGGTGGGTCTTCTTGGATATATTAACCTCTGTACAGCGTCCGAAGGACGGTAAATATAGACGTGTTAACGAGCGTCCACCTCCTTGACCTCTCAGTATAACATGTGAAATATGTCTAATACTACAACTTAGGCGGAACCCTCAAAACTGATCTAATACGTATCGATTATTTCGCGTTGAAAGATGAATCTTTTGATTTGATAAGAACACATAAGACATTTTCTTATGATCGCTGAAAAACCTACACCATGAGCATATTTCTCAATAGATTACAAACCGAGGCCTACTTGTCATTCAATCTTAATTTCATAGATTGGATATGTGTGTGATTGTTGGTGTTTTCAATATACTGACGTACTTCTCGTATCTAATCAGTTCTTTATCAATATATGTTTATGTTATTTTGGTGCTATTTCACCAACACTGCCTCGTTAAAAATATACGCGTGATTTGATATGGCATTGGCAGGTAAAACTTTACCTATGGACTTTTCAATAGAGGCGTCATACATGTATAATTAGTTATGTCAATGCCCGCCAATGCCTAGGTCGATATAGTCCACGAGACAGTCCCCGAGGTCCTGACCCCATGTTAACCAGGATGACCCCCCCGGGGGGTCTACGATACACCCCTTTTTAACGAGCGTTTTGACGGGAAGACGTGAACATTAAGTCGAGACATATGGACGGCGTACCAAAGTTACATTTTAAAAAAATTCTAGGCGCTTTTTAGAGCCTTATCGACTCTGTTTTTATGCCCCTTGACTTAATTCTGTGACTCAATATCCATTACGTTTGCCAAAAACATTATTTTAAATTTAATAACTACGATATGTTTCAAATATCAAAAGCTCAACCGCTGTGTGTGAATAACCAACACAAAGCCGTATTGCAATCAGCAAGAACATGTATGATTTGACCAGTCAACAATGATTGCTTAAAGTTTTTTATGGAAGGATAAGCATAATTAGTCCAGTGATTATTTGCCAGCATTATATACAGTACATACATGTACCACTTCATATGACAGCCAACGTGAAGAGACTGCTTGTAAAATTAAACTGGGGCCTAATCGTGATACATTAATTAACACAAACAAGACCTACTTCGTTGGCGAATGCACATGTAGTTAGTGTATGAGGGATGAAGTACCAACATCGTAATTCTATAAAATCTGCAGAACACAAGCCACCAATTGTTGCGCAAAGATACGTAATATCAGCGGCGTTCATTCTCATAGCAGGGCGCAGCTCACATATCATGGCGGCTCTGAGACACGGCGCACCTGTTGCTCAAAATGGCATAGACCTTACCTTTTAAAAACACCCACAAATCTAAAAATCCAGCAAACCCAACCTGAACAACGTACCTTACAGTCTTCGTTGAGAAATATCCTTTTTGAAATAAATAACTGGTCCAAGAATAGGCGTGTCGAGACAACTGCGTTAACAAGCTTGGTGAACTGAAATATCTGCTGTAAGGTGTGGTGCGTGACGCTGATATAGACTGTATTTATCGCTACAGGAAAGGTGAGTGGCTAGTCAGCGTGTGCTAGGGCCAAGCCTTAAAGTCCAAGGATGAGATAACCAACTGGCCCATATACCGACTAAATAATTAAAGGTTATTTTCCATATGCTTTTGACCTGTATAGAGGTCTATAGCTATATATTACTGAATATAGCGCTGATTACATTGATAGCGCGCGATTTTCAAAAGGAATTTTGAAAGAGATTTCATTGGAGTTTATATTGAGACGGGTTTAAGCGGGATATCGATCATAAATGGAAGATAAAGCGGTGGACTTCGGGACACAGTATTGAGAAGCCACATGTGGTATAGAAACTTAAAGGGAAAACAACTGTTCGTTTTGGATGGCTTTTCCTGGGGTAAACGACAAATAATTACTAATGATTAATGAATCCATATCGACTTCAAAGTCCCTGTTTTTTTTTTCTAGGAAGGTTTTTAACTATCCGGAAGCGCGGCCTACCCTAATTGATTGCATTGGATAGGGCTGTGTTGTGTGGAAAATGTACAATTGTCCGCAGGAAAATCATTGATGATGTTGTTTTTATGCTTTTAAGTCACCTACACCTTGAATTTGACATAACCCTTTGAATGATATTATTTTTAAATCCCCAAAGACCATAGAATTTAGTTACTATGCTCATTAACCATATTTGACATTTTAAAAATGAAATGCGTCTACCGACCTTATTTATTTATAGTCACCGCTTGTAAACCAACTTATTAATTTTGTTTAGCCTAAGGCTACTTTTTACGTAAATCTACGTAAGCTGAATTCTCTGGGGTCTCAAAAACCATCATTATTTCCATGTAGAGGTGCCCGGTACCGCACTAGTGATTGTAAATGTTAGCTTTAATACCGGACCGTGATCAAAGATAGGGTATCTAGATAGGTCTACGATTATACCCTTTCTTTAGATTTGCTTAACCGGGCTGGATGAGTTATGGCACTTCTACATCAAGGTGGTACAAGACCAAAGATCAGTGCTGTTCGTTATTGTTTATTTTTTATAACATCTGGACTCAAGCTGGCAGTACGCACCATCGTATTTATTATCTATTCCATCCGTTTTTAAGGATTTATAATGTTACATTTAAGACGTAATTTTTCTTGTCCTAGATTTTTTTCATTAGACAAAAAAAAAAAAAGAAAAGAAAAAACAGTAATTACAGCACCTTTAACTTGTTCAGCTGTTCTTAGAATCGCCTAAAGACAGCGTTAATTGTAAAATCTCACATTTCCACGAAAACAAAAACGACAATTTATCGCTAAAACAATGCTTTTTTCTCAATAATTCAACGAATTGAGCGGTGCCTGAAGAAAAAACTATGGTGCGTTATTTTTCTTTGGTTCAAACAAACTTTGAGTAAAAACAGTAAATAAACAAACAAATTAATAAAAGGGTGAGTTACCTGGTGACCTAGAAAGCTGTACTGCACACAAAGACTGCATTCCCACAGATTAAGATCGATCCATCTGGATCGACCTAAGTCCCTGGGGGTTCATGCTAAATTGCTGTCAGCCGAGCGCGCACGGAAGTTAATTACCCCCTTACAGCTTTTAGTAGGCGGAACAGACATTTAAGCCGGCTAAGCTGACAGTAATCTAGTGAGACTCCCCACGGGGATAGATCGATCTAAAATCTGTGGGAATGCAGTCAAAGTCTGACGTGAAAGATTGACTATATGTTTAAGTTACAAAGCAGACCATGGCCAATTTTAGTATTTGTTCCCTCATATTTCCACAATATAACGAATAAACGCCGTCAAATGATCTCAAATGTGTCACTTTTGGGTCCCAGGAGGGAATGCAATTTTGACAAAGTCGTGTTACAGTAAGGATTTTAAATCAAGAATTGTGACTCAGGGGCGGATTTAGGCCGTCTTCTGGGTCTTCTGGAAGACGGTCAGATTTTAAAGTTTACATTGACGGGTATGTAATATTTTCTGTCGGAAGACGGTCAAAAATTGAGGACGAATTAACAAAGATAAATTGGAAGACTGTAAGAAAATATCTCTAGATCCGCCCCTGTGTGTTTTGGGTGTCGCATATTTAACCAAAGCCAAGGTTATCTATGCTGTGGGAGATTAACGATGTTGGGGGGGGGGGGGGGGGGGAAACGAAGGGGGGGGGGGGGGAAAGGGGGGGGGGGGGGGGCCCGGGCCTCGTCGGGGGGGGGGGGGGGGGGTTGAAAAAAGAAAAAAANCTACAGCAGTTCACATCATGTACCCCCCCTCCTCCCTCCACCACACACACACACACACACACATTGAACATATGTAAAAACCACCTCTGTGAGATGTTTGCAAGCATCACCTGGTTTTTACAGACGCAGGACTTTATATTTACCTTTTTATATCACGGTCATATCGTACTACATTTATTAGTTTGCAAACACGGTATGCAATATGCACGCACGCGCACACGCGTTTATATGCACGGTCCCTCACATCACCCAAGATGTTGAAGGGAACCGATGAACGCGCTCTCCATTCCATCTAGGAACACATAAATTTATGAACCTCCTTACTTTTCTACACACTAGCAAAGACTCACACTGAAACACAGAATGAAGTCAACAAATAATCATATATAGAATGGAAAAATAGCTTACCTTAGGTTTTCGCTTCTCAGTGCTGCGTGTAATATTGTCAATACACAAATAGCAACCAATAATGATTTCAGCTTTGCACAATGTCGGCGGAATTTAGGTATTATATGACGTGATTGCAGATGACGGTCGCTGCTCGACTCCTGACGACGCGAGAGAACGCTGTCAGCACGCAAACAGGCAACACCAAAGTTCAACTTTCATTTTAATCAAATAGCTAGCATATAGTTGAGATTAATCAACATAAAAAAAGCCACCCGATTATTGCAAAAAATATGAAGAAGGTGATCTGTTAATTGAAGTTCTCCTATTTTGACTGAAATATTCATGTTACAGGGACGGGAAGGATGGCGTGAGAAATGACACAGTGAAGTCGAACTAAATTTTAGTAATTGAACGATTTTCACTTTACGTATTGTTACCGTTGGTGTGAACGTTTTTTACACGAAAGCTGTGTTGTCTTAAACCTTCCTGTCCTTGCGGACAATGTGTTTTTTCAACCAAAGGCATCTGAAATCATCCATAAAGAATAAAGAAAATACTGTCCGAGAATTGTATTTACCTCAAAGTGAAAACCCAAGGCATGCCTGTAGCCGTTCAACCAGTTAAAGACTATCCAAATGTATTTCTGTATTTAAAGGGAATATTTGGGTTTACAATTTGATGGAGCTATAAGATGGTAAGTAGAAGGATGTACAGAGAGAGACACAGGATCGTTGCTATTCCCTGCCATCGTTAAATCAGTCTGGATAGAACCGTTCTACGTTGGATCACTTAAAATTATCTAAAACTATCGCTAGGCAAGATCAGGGTAAGTATAATAAATTAATGAACATCCCTCGTAACTTCCGTAGCACAAATGAGAATCATTTACGGTAGATTTCAAAATTTCCCCAATGACTTTCAACATTAGCTAGTCTCCTGTTAGTACTCTTAGCTCCGCAACATTCACAACCCGTGGAAAGCGTTAGAGGCGATTGTGTTAGAGAAGATTTGCTTCAGCACAACCAAAGAGACGTGGACTTTCTTCTTTGAGGAGAAGGGGGGAGGGGGGGACGACTGTTCACAGAGCGTCCACCTTTGCTTCTGTAATTAATTCGGAAATGTTAAAATCAAATCTTGTCGATTTGAATGAATGAGATTAGGAACTAACCATGACCAAGGAGTTCGAACTCCTTGCCATGACTGCCCCGTATCTATACTCCAATCTGTATGGTATAGTCAGGCCGTATAGGAATCACTGCCTTCCCTCACATGTTACTGTCAGTATCATTTCTTCAGTTATGACAATACGAACGTTCATGTCCCGTCTTGAAATAGCACACACCTAGCGGCAACATTTTATATTCGGTTCAGCTAATGGCCTCGTTTTTATTTCAGATTTTGTTTAATATCGTACACATTTTAGGAAGTGACTTCTCTCCATCCAAATTGTTTACACAGAGAAATGATTGCTTGTCACGAGACGTTCAACCTTCATTAAAAAAAAAAAAAAAAAAAAAAAAAAAAAAACTCCCAACATGCAGGGATAAGGCTAACATTTAGTGTACAAGTCTTGGGTCCAGACCTAAACGCCCCCTTCCTCCCTATAATTTTGCTGCATATCTAAACGATCTCAAAAATAACATTTGGCTCCCAGAAAGTTGAAAACCAGCCAACAGTCGGAAAAATCACATCCCTGCACACACTGTTTGATAATCTCTGAAGCCTGCCCCTCTCCTCTTTCACTTAGTGTAGATAAGCAATTACAAAATAAACAAGCAAATGCTGAACAAAACCTCAACCTCTTAAACAGACTATTTAAAGAAAACTGAATTTTCAAACTATTGAAAAGTTGAACTGCCTGTAGTGCGAACACAGTGAATGAATTTCTTGTTATGTGTAAATTAATGTATGAATAAATCAGTGAGAGAAATGGAAGGCATTTTTGAAATTTTATTAAATTAATTTAAAATACTGCCAATATCACTACAACACACTGGATCATCCATAAACAAGTCCCATCCGTTTGGAGGCTTTTGAACTACAAGAAAATCAGCCAGGTATATGGAACAGGGCACAGGGTTATTCCTTGACTTTTCTTTTCCGTACATCACCGATATTTACATATTTAATATCTTTCCCCACTTTTGTGTTACGCAAATCATGGACACTTATATATTTGTTGGGGTCCATTGACTTGGCTACCACCATTCGGAGTGTCATGGTTGCACAGATTAGAAATAACATGAAACAGAGTGAGAAGAAAGGCAAAGCTAGCTGGTTTAAACTATCCTCTACTTGTTGCTTTCTATTGAATTTAAAATTTTCATCATATCTCACATGACCATCTTGAGTCTTTTTGCGTTTGTTTTGAATTCTTCTCCAGAGTTCATCATAATCTATATCATGTGGTTCGTAATACTGATGCCCGTAACGCTTGAAGCTGTTACCAGAAGGCCGATATGCTGTTCTGTATCTCGAGTTGGAATTATGTGGGTCGTAGTCTGACCTTGACCTTTGACTGTGCCCAGTCCACCAATCAGGCCCTGTTTGACTAGAGGGCCTGCTCCCCGACTGTGTTCTATAGTAAGGTCTAGTTGTAGCTGTATACAGTCTCAGGGTCTTGTCATACTCCTTCCTCTGCAGAGGACTTCCGATCACCTCATACGCAGTGTTTATCTCAGTAAATTTCTCCTGGGCGTTAGGGGATTTATTCAAATCTGGATGATATATTTTGGACAGTTTGAAGTAGGCAGCTTTGACCTGGTCGGGGGTGGCATCTCTGGGGACGCCGAGGGTGGAGTAGTGATCTTTCCCACACCTCGGCACGCCCAGAGACAGAGAGCGCCATGGAGGACTACTCCAGACTCCACTCACAAATGTCTTCCATTTCATTTGTAACAGTTTGGAGGTGGCTATCTGTCCACATTGACACTGTATAGCCATGTCCAGGACAACAATTTACTATATCAAATATTTCTCCAGTGTCAATGTGATTCATACACATCATCCCTTCACACTCCTGGACAGTGATGAAGATACTAACACTGCTTTGAGCCACAGAAAGGAGGTGCTTTGCTATCTTCTAAACATTCTTCTCCTGGGTCCCCGCCTCAATATAGTGACCTGTAAAGAAAATAATAAAAACACCAATGATGTGAAACAGACAAATAATTTTTTTTAGTTATTTATCATATCAGTGATTTAAAACAAAACTTTCTCTGATGTTAGCAAGTGTACTTACAAATGTTAATTTCTTGACTGCAATAGCTGTACACAATTATCTTGGGGATTTTCTAATACACGTAATTCAATTATTTAACATTCAATAATTTATAACAATATATTATAACATCTGAAGGATGAAAGTCACTTTCTTCAATTTCTTTAAATTATTGATCTTAGCAGAATTATGGTAATGACTTGATGACTTGATGTTTTCAATAGGGAAAAATTATCAATCTTTGCAGTACAAAATTTAGGAATCATTACATCTTTATTTTTTTGGAAGCATTTGGGATGCTTTTTGCTGCCACTCATTAGGAATGTATAATTTCAACAATTTATGACTTAATAAATACAGTATCTGTAATATTTCTGATTCTCTCCTATTGAAAAGATTGAGCAATATTACCACATGTTACTTGAACATTATAAAGATGACAACAGACAATGCAAGAGTCAACAGACCTCTTTAGATCATAAAATACAGAATGACCTTGACCTAAATATGGATGACAGGTTCTTCTTCCTTGGTTTTCTTTCGTCTGCGGCGAAGCATGTGTTTCTCATCGTGTCTTACAATCTTTCTCCTCATATGTTTGGTCATGATGTGCATTTGGAATATAAAAATAATAAAAGTGATAAAACCCAGCACACGAAAGACCACCCATGTCTTCCTCTGCTCTTCAGCCCTCTTCTGAAAGGGATCCTGTTCCATGTTTTGCCCCTGTTTGTACTTAGTGTCATTGGTGTGATACCCCTCTCTCATCCTGTCATACTCCTCTCCCCCAAACTTCACCTGGTGCCAGATACGTCTGTACTCCTCAAATGACATGTCTTTACCAGTTCTGTAGATAGGAGTGGGTCCCCTGGTTCTGCGCCCTCTATTGGAAGGACCCCCTGCAGTTTGGTAATTTTTTGGTGAGGCCTGCTGTGATTGGCCGGGGAAAGAACTCTGGAAGGCCAGATTTTTATCATATTCCTTTCTCTTTATTGGGTTGCCAAGGACTTCATAAGCAGAATTGATCTCAGTAAATAATCTCTGTGCGTCCCTGGATTTATTCAAGTCTGGGTGATATTTTTTAGAATTTTTATAATACGCTGCTTTCACCTGTGCTGGTGTAGCAGTTCTAGATACTCCTAAGGTTTTATAATGACATCTGGCCTGGGCGCTACCACTGAGGTGAACATGTCTCTGCTGACTAACACTGGCGCCATCTATTAATGTCCTTCCTAGCAGTAATCTTCTGTGAAGTTGAGCACTTTTACAACCAACCAAAGCCATGACTGCCGCTGACAAAACCTAGTAATAATTTCTTTCTATAGCAGCCTATATCTCTGGGACAGTCTTCACATGTCACAAAATACAAGCCATAGGACATCACCAGATTCCTCACAAAACTGTTTTACTTCTGAACTGTTAACACCTGAAATAATCAAAGAAATAAGCATGCATGACACAAGAGAGGTGTAAAAACAAACATGAAGACATAATAATTTCAATTGTTTTTTTTTTTTAAAGCTGAAAAATTTTAATGCATTCATAAAGATCGACTGTGTTTGGTACAATGTCCGAGCTGCTGTACTCTTCAAAGGAGATGTCTCTTTGAATTTTGTAAACAGGTGTGGGGCCCTGGTTTTACCGACTCTAAAGAAAGATTTGAGAGAGAGGGGGAGAGAGAGAGATTGTATACAGGTTATAGGGAGGAGAGAATCTTCAACTTCGACATCAATATGTTGGCTGAAATTGAAATTTATCATGAAAATGGCAAGACTTACCATTCTCAGCCAAGCAATACATAAAAACGACATATTTATTTGCATAAATCACCGAAACATTTCACAGAAACCAGTACTTACATGTGTACTGACCTGTAGCTGAGAAGACTGGGGGTAGATGGTGAACGTGTCAGATCTAGGTCGGATTACCAAACCGCAATCTACTGGTCCCGTCTCGCCTGGTGGGCCAAAACACGCCATTCCAAATCCGGTGCAAGGCTAACTGTCTGAAAATCAATATCTAAGGATCATATTTCAATACCAACCTGATAGAGATGAACCCAAATGGATGGCTTTGGCACAGCAGAAGTATTTTCTGGAGACGGGGCAGGGATTGCATAAAGTACCGTGACACCCTCAAGGTCGTTGTGATGGCGGCGCAACTGACGCAATTTTTGGGATCGAGGCTTGGCGGAAAATTGGGTTCGAGACTAGCAGGAAGTGGGGTTGGAGAGTATTCTCAGCCATCTTCATCCTGATTGATTTGTTCCCTGTGCATTTTCAGTTTTAATTTTGCAGGGGATGTCATAAACGTAAGGTAAGTGAAGTAAAGACGAAAAACAAGGCTTACTTGATATTTTTTATGTTTCTTGGAGGTATTTTCTTTCTTAAAGTACGTATTCATAAGTCAATGTATTGTCTAAAATAAGAAACAGACTCAGTTTATCAATAATGTCATACTGTCATTAATGATAACATTCACCATAAAGAACAATGCCATTGTTACTTCCTTTGGTATGCATTATGTTACTTTGGTCTCATGAAAGAAGGGTGATAATTAAAACTGAATTTAATGCCGTTCTCTTAATAGAGCGCCCAATATTAAGTTCAAGTAATATTGTCAAATTAGAGCTTTGTAATAGGACATAACAAGCCTTAGAGCGCATTCTCAACGAATTAAGCCAGGCTTTACAAAGCCGGTGACCTAAAAATGGCGGACGTACATGAAAGAAAAACCGCCTAATCTTTTAATAGTCTCTCCGCCTCTCACACGCCTCCCCACACGTCGTCCCTGCGGGGTACAGTAATTAAATCTCGGCTCCGAACATTAATATTTCCGTGAATATCTCTGGTGATATTATCTCCGTAGATAGTCGATTCATTGCTGCTCTACGGGCCAAATTATTCCTTTTTCGTCTCTGTTTTCAAACATAATAGAACAGAAGAGCTTTTTTCCTTCGATCGCCTTCAGCCGCCATGCTTTCTTCACCACGAGTTTAACTGATGAGCATGCGCACTTAATATTTCTCAGGTAGCTTCCGCATGGCGAACGGAGCCGAGATTTAATTACTGTACCCCGCAGGGACGACGTGTGGGGAGGCGGAGAGACTATTAAAAGATTAGGCGGTTTTTCTTTCATGTACGTCCGCCATTTTTAGGTCACCGGCTTTGTAAAGCCTGGCTTAATTCGTTGAGAATGCGCTCTTATACACGCTTGTTAACATTGAATATCATCAGCAATTTCAACATGTACCGTTAATTTTATGCATGTGGTTACTGTCACCAGTGTGTTTCTGACTTAATGCTATTAGTATCAATGCATTTTCCGTATCCATTTTGATTAATAAATAGAAGGAAATAATTTAGATTATCACAGACATAATAGGGCTGCCTATTATCTCTTCATGAAATAGTGCTCAGTTAGTCTGCGGATCATCTGTTCTGAAAGTGACCTTAGTCCCCACTGACTTATGTATCCAACAATGTCAATGAAAAATCTCTGCCATAATCTCTGAGTTTTATTTCATCTGTCTTTCTTGTTCTCTTTTAGAAACTTCCAGGAATTTTGTGAAACTTTCCAGATGGTCACCTTGAATTAGCCAGCAGCTGGGCTGTGTGGTGACCTCTTCTCACTGTATCTCCTGTTAATTTGTGGTCATCAAGATGGGTAAGTACACCCCTCACCCACCCCCACCACACCCCTTGAGACAAGACCTCTATAATAACCCAGTGCTGCAGTAAGGCTGGGATGTTGACACATGTGCTGAACTAGTGATTTGATTGAAAGACTGGACTTGCTGAAAAATACAGTCAGTAGTAAATATGTGATTAGTTTATAAAGAAACACAGATTTCTCTATATTGAAATTGACAGCTTCTGTCTAAGGCTCTGTTGACAACCAAGTTGTTCCACAGACTAACAGATCCGGGGATTAAATATGGCATGCATTTGACAATGGACTCCCTGCCTCCCATGTCTGCCGTCCCTGCAAGGGCAGAACAATTAAGTATTGGCACGCTTTCAAGAGGGTTGCGCCATATTTGATCCACGGATCTGTTAGTTCTCGAATTAACTTGTTCTGAACAGGTCCTTCAAAAAGTTGGGTATTTTAACATTTGATATTAAGTCCTTTTATTTATCGTTTCAGGTGAGGAGAGGCTGCCAGTGTGGAAGTCCTACTGTAAGTGTTCTCTCCATTACTAGTACTTGATTATAATGTGGATAGTTTGACCAGTGTTAAAGTTCTACTGTAAATGTTCTCTCTCCTATGCTAGTACGTGATTATATGGTTAGCTTGACTCAGACCCAGTTTTGGGCATATTAGATTCTTATCAGTGGTAGAGCTCTAATTATTAAAACAGTAACTGATGACTTTTAATCCAAAGTTTTNTAGGCTATAGTGAAGAGGTTAGTGTCAAGTTATCTCTGAAGCTCAGGGTGGTTAGTAGGGCCTAATCTTATCTACGCAACGTTCAAAACCCGTAGAAAGCGTTAGAGGCGATTGTGTTAGAGAAGATCTGCTTCAGCACAACCAAAGACGTGGACTTTCTTCTTTGAGGAGAAGGGGGGGAGGGGGGGTTGGACGACTGTTCGCAGAGCGTCCACCTTTGCTTCTGTAATCAATTGGGAAATGTTAAAATCAAATCTTGTCGATTTTAATGAATGGGATTAGGAACTAACCATGACCATGGTGTTGGAACTCCTTGCCATGACTGCCCCGTGTCTATACTCAAGTCTGTATGGTATAGTCAGGCTGTATATACAATTGTGATAGGAATCACTGCCTTCCCTCACACGTTACTGTCAGTATCAAGTCTTCAGTAATGACAATACGAACGTTCATGTCCTGTCTTGAAAAAAAAAAAAACCTAGCGGCAAAATTTTATATTCGGTTCAGCTAATTGTCTTGTTTTTATTTCAGATTTTGTTTAATATCGTACACATTTTAGGAAGTGACTTCTCTCCATCCAAATTGTTTACACAGAGAAATGATTGCTTGTCACGAGACGTTCAACCTTCATTAAAAAAAAAACAAAAAAAAAACTCCCAATATGCAGGGATAAGGCTAACATTTAGTGTACAAGTCTTGGGTTCAGACCTAAGCACCCCCCTCCTCCCTGTAGTTTTTACTGCATATCTAAACGATCTCAAAAATAACACTCGGCTCCCAGAAAGTTGAAAACCAGCCAACAGTCGGAAAAATCACATCCCTGCACACACTGTTTGATAATCTCTGAAGCCTGCCCCTCTCCTCTTTCACTTAGTGTAGATAAGCAATTACAAAATAAACAAGCAAATGCTGAACAAAACCTCAACCTCTCAAACAGACTATTTAAAGAAAACTGAATTTTCAAACTATTGAAAGTTGAACTGCCTGTAGTGCGAACACAGTGAATGAATTTCTTGTTATGTGTAAATTAATGTATGAATAAATCAGTGAGAGAAATGGAAGGCATTTTTGAAATTTTATTAAATTAATTTAAAATACTGCCAATATCACTACAACACACTGGATCATCCATAAACAAGTCCCATCTGTTTGGAGGCTTTTGAACTACAAGAAAATCAGCCAGGTATATGGAACAGGGCACGGGGTTATTCCTTGACTTTTCTTTTCCGTACATCACCGATATTTACATATTTAATATCTTTCCCCACTTTTGTGTTACGCAAATCATGGACACTTATATATTTGTTCGGGTCCATAGACTTGGCTACCACCATTCGGAGTGTCATGGTTGCACAGATTAGAAATAACATAAAACAGAGTGAGAAGAAAGGCAAAGCTAGCTGGTTTATACTATCCTCTACTTGTTGCTTTCTACTGAATTTAAATTTTTCATCATATCTCACATGACCATTTTGAGTCTTTTTGCGTTTGTTTTGAATTCTTCTCCAGAGTTCATCATAATCTATATCATGTGGTTCGTAGTACTGATGCCCGTAACGCTTGAAGTTGTTACCAGAAGGTCGATACGCTGTTCTGTATCTTGAGTTGGAATTATGTGGGTCGTTGTTTGACCTTGACCTTTGACTGTGCCCAGTCCACCAATCAGGCCCAGTTTGACTAGAGGGCCTGCTCCCTGCCTGTGTTCTATAGTAAGGTCTAGCTGTGGCTGTATACAGTCTCAGGGTCTTGTCATACTCCTGTCTCTGCAGAGGACTCCCGATCACCTCATACGCAGCGCTAATCTCAGTAAATTTCTCCTGGGCGTTAGGGGATTTATTCAAATCTGGATGATATATTTTGGACAGTTTGAAGTAGGCAGCTTTGACCTGGTCGGGGGTGGCGTCTCTGGGGACGCCGAGGGTGGAGTAGTGATCCTTCCCACACCTCGGCACGCCTAGAGACAGAGAACGCCATGGAGGACAACTCCAGACTCCACTCACAAATGTCTTCCATTTCATTTGTAACAGTTTGGAGCTGGCTATCTGTCCACACTGACACTGTATAGCCATGTCCAGGACAACTATTTACTATGTCAAATATTTCTCCAGTGTCAATGTGATTCATACACATCATCCCTTCACACTCCTGGACAGTGATGAAGATACTAACACTGCTTTGAGCCACAGAAAGGAGGTGCTCTGTTATCTTCTTACCATTCTTCTCCTGGGACCCTGCCTTAATATAGTGACCTGTAAAGAAAATAATAAAAACACCAATGATGTGAAACAGACAAGTCAATTTTTTTAGTTATCATATCAGTGATTTAAAACAAAATGTTCTCTGGTGTTAGCAAGTATACTTCCAAATGTTAATTTCCTGACTGCAACAGCTGTACACAATTATCTTGGGGATTTTCTAATACACGTAATTCAATTATTTAACATTTGATAATTTATAACAGAATTCAATTCAGTCTGAAGGATGAAAGTCACTTTCTTCAATTTCTTTAAATTATTGATCTTAGCAGAATTATGGTAATGACTTGATGTTTTCAATAGGGAAAAATTATCAATCTTTGCAGTACAAAATTTTGGAATCATTACATCTTTATTTTTTGGAAGCATTTGGGGTGCTTTTTGCTGCCACTCAATAGGAATGAATAATTTCAATAATTTAAGACCTAATAATAAATATTTATTATAAATAATTAAATACAGTATCTGTAATATTTCTAATTCTCTCCTATTGAAAATATTGAGCAATATTTCCATATGTTACTTGAACATTATAAAGATGACAACAGACAATGCAAGAGGCAACAGACCTCTTCAGATCTTAAAATACAGAATGACCTTGACCTAAATATGGATGACAGGTTCAACTTCCTTGGTTTTCTCTCGTCTGCGGCGAATCATGTGTTTCTCATCGTGTCTTATAATCCTTCTCTTATGTTTGGTCACGATGTGTATTTGGAATATAAGAATAAGAAAAGTGATAAAAACCAGCACACGAACGACCACCCCCGTCTTTCTCTGCTCTTCAGCCCTCTTCTGAAAGGGATCCTGTTCCATGTTTTGCCCCCGTTTGTACTTTGTGTCATTGGTGTGATGCCCCTCTCTCATCCTGTCATACTCCTCTCCCCCAAACTTCACCTGGTGCCAGATACGTCTGTACTCCTCATATGAGATGTCTTTACCACTTCTGTAGATAGGAGTGGGTCCCCTGGTTCTGCGCCCTCTATTGGAAGGGCCATGGAAGGTGGCGCCCCCTGCAGTTTGGTGATTTCTTGGTGAGGCCTGCTGTGATTGGCCTGGGAAAGTGCTCTGGTAGGCCAGAGTTTTATCATATTCCTTTTTCTTTATTGGGTTGCCAAGGACTTCATAAGCAGAATTGATCTCAGTGAATAATCTCTGTGCGTCCCTGGATTTATTCAAGTCTGGATGATATTTTTTAGAATTTTTATAATACGCTGCTTTCACCTGTGCTGGTGTAGCAGTTCTAGATACTCCCAGAGTTTTATAATGACATCTGGCCTGGTCGCTACCACTGAGGTGAACATGTCTCTGCTGACTGACACTGGCGCCATCTATAAATGCCCTTCCTAGCAGTAATCTTCTGTGAAGTTGAGCACTTTTACAACCAACCAAAGCCATGACTGCCACTGACAAAACCTAGTAATAATTTCTTTCTACAGCAGCCTATATCTCTGGGACAGTCTTCACATGTCACAAAATACAAGCCATAGGACATCACCAGATTCCACACAAAACTGTTTCACTTCTGAACTGTAAACACCTGAAATAATGAAAGAAATAAGCATGCATGACACAAGAGAGGTGTAAAAACAAACATAAAGACATAATAATTTCAATTGTTTTTTTTTTTAAGCTGAAAAATTTTAATGCATTCATAAAGATCGACTGTGTTTGGTACAATGTCTGAGCTGCTGTACTCTTCAAAGGAGATATCTCTTTGAATTTTGTAAACAGGTGTTGGGCCCTGGTTTTACCGACTCTAAAGAAAGAAGATGAGAGAGAGAGAGAGAGAGAGAGAGAGAGAGAGAGAGAGATTGTATACAGGTTATAAGGAGGAGAGAATCTTCGACATCGACATCAATATGTTGGCTGAAATTGAAATTTATCATGAAAAATGGCAAGACTTACCATTCTCAGCCAAGCAATACATAAAAACGACATATTTATTTGCATAAATTACCGAAACATTTCACAGAAACCAGTACTTACATGTGTACTGACCTGTAGCTGAGAAGACTGGGGGTAGATGGTGAACGTGTCAGATCTAGGTCGGATTACCAAACCGCAATCTACTGGTCCCGCCTCACTTGGTGGGCCAAAACACTCCACTCCAAATCCGGTGCAAGGCTAACTGTCTGAAAATCAATATCTAAGGATCACATATTCAATACCAACCTGATAGAGATGAACCCAAATGGATGGCTTTGGCACAGCAGATATATTTTCTGGAGACGGGGCAGGGATTGCATAAAACACTGTGACACTCTCAAGGTCGTTGTGATGGCGGCGCAACTGACGCAATTTTGGGGATCGAGGCTTGGCGGAAGTTTGGGTTCGAGACTAGCAGGAAGTGGGATTGGAGAGTATTCTCAGCCATCTTCATCCTGATTGATTTGTTCCCTGTGCATTTTCAGTTTTAATTTTGCAGGGGATGTCATAAACGTAAGGTAAGTAAAGTAAAGACGAAAAACAAGGCTTACTTGATATTTTTTTTATGTTTCTTGGAGATATTTTCTTTCTTAAAGTACGTATTCATAAGTCAATAGTATTGTCTAAAATAAGAAACAGACTCAGTTTGTCAATAATGTCATACTGTCATTAATGATAACATTCACCATAAAGAACAACGCCATTGTTACTTCCTTTGGTATGCATCATGTTACTTTGGTTTCATGGGTGATAATTAAAAATGAAGGGTGATAATTAAAAATGAATTTAATGCCGTTCTCTTAATAGAGCGCCCAATATTCGTATGAGATCTATATTTCACAATAAAAACATTGTGAATAACTCATAGAAATATAATATATTCTGTTTTACCACAAAAACGGCAGTTATAGCTATTATTCTGATATCTGAGCTTTTCTTTAGACCATGTGACCTCCATTGATGGTTATACTCTGTTAAAATCTCTTAAGAGATTTTAACAAAAAACCAAACTTTTTAGAAAAAAACCGGGGACTAACTTTGAATGTAAAAATGGATTCATTAACCATTGGTGAGTATGGGAAAATTGTTGTTTACTCCAGGAAAATTCATTTTTTGGCCGAAACGAAGAGTTATTATCCCTTTAAGTTCAAGTATTGTAATATTGTCAAATTAGAGCTTTGTGATAGGAACATAACAAGCCTTATACACCCTTGTTAACATTGAATATCATCAGCAATTTCAACATGTACCGTTAATTTTATGCATGTGGTTACTGTCACCAGTGTGTTTCTGACTTAATGCTTATCCATTTTGATTAATAAATAGAAGGAAATAATTTAGATTATCACAGACATGATAGGGCTGCCTTTTATCTCTTCATGAAATAGTGCTCAGTTAGTCTGCGGATCATCTGTTCTGAATGTGACCTTAGTCCCCACTGACTTATGTATCCAACAATGTCAATACTATGGATTGAAAAATCACTGCCATAATCTCTGAGTTTTATTTCATCTGTCTTTCTTGTTCTCTTTTAGAAACTTCCGGGAATTTTGTGAAACTCTCCAGATGGTCACCTTGAATTAGCCGGCAGCTGGGCTGTGTGGTGACCTCTTCTCACTGTATCTCCTGTTAATTTGTGATCATCAAGATGGGTAAGTACATCCCCCCCCCCCCACCCCATCACACCCCTCAAGACAAGACAAGACCTCTGTAATAGCCCAGTGCTGCAGTAAGGCTGGGATGTAGTGATCTGATTGAAAGACTGGACTTGCTGAAAAATACTGTCAGTAGTAAATATGTGATTAGTTTATAAAGAAACACAGATTTCTCTATATTGAAATTGACAGCTTCTGTTGTAGGCTGTGTACACAACCAAGTTGATCCAGGGACTAACAGATCCGGGGATTAAATATGGCGTGCATTTGACAATGGACTCCCCGCCTGCCATGTCTGCCGTCCCTGCAGGGGCAGAACAATTAAGTCTTGGCACGCTTTCAAGTGGGTTGCGCCATATTTGATCCACGGATCTGTTAGTCCTCGAATTAACTTGTTCTGAACAGGTCCTTTAAAAAGTTGGGTATTTTAACATTTGATATTAAGTCCTTTTATTTATGGTTTCAGGTGAGGAGAGGCTGCCAGTGTGGAAGTCCTATTGTAAGTGTTCTCTCCATTACTAGTACTTGTTTATTATGTGGATAGTTTGACCAGTGTTAAAGTTCTTCTGTAAATGTTCTCTCTCCTGTGCTAGTACAGTATGTGATTATATGGTTAGTTTGACTCAGACCCAGTTTTGTGCATATTAGATTCTTATCAGTGATAGAGCTCTAATTATTAAAACAGTAACTGATGACTTTTAATCCAAAGTTTTTCTCTCCCCCCCCCCCCCCCCCCCCCACATCAACAGATATCACCTCTCCAGTTTCAATGTTAGATGCAGAGGAAGACAAGAGAGAAAAAAGACATAATGGCCCAAATATAGGGGGCCTATATTTTTTTGTTTTTTGCCCAATTCATGCAGTTCAGTTGTAGTGAAGTCTGGCGTTATTCAGTCATGTGATGTGATCATGTGATCAGAAAACCAGCTGATTAATGAGCAGGGGATATTTGTTACATTCTATTTTCCCACAGCACCTGAGCTGTGCTTCTTAACCATATAAAAATTTTTAGACCAGGAAGTGGAAGTCCAAAAGTTTTATAAGTATTTTTTTAAAGAACTTTCATTTCTTTTCAGTAAATATAGTTTTCACAAGCACTTCCTGATTCCTATAAGATATCCGTGACTTATAATTTGTGAGGTTTTGATTTTAAAATTCCATACACAAGATATCATGATGTAACTTGGAACAGTGGAATAACATTTCAAATTTCATTTTTACTTTGGGAACTAACAAACTTCATCACCATCACTGGGTGCCATCCACAGAAGAAAAGTTGAATAAATTTGGTGACAGAACACAACCCTGTCGTACCCCTTTCTTTATTTGAATTCAGCTGATACTGACAGATATTTGCATGTTAGTTGCCTGAGAGTCACATAGGAAATACACAGGAAATAAAAATAAGCAAATAAAAGTAATAACACATTTTGTTTAAAGCCATGAAGTACAGTAGGTGATTTTCTGTTTCTGACTCTCAGGAAGTGTGTGTGACAACTGATTATTTGTCATGGGTACGATACACGAAACTGTCCATGTGACACTGAATAGTCACCAAGCAAATCTGGGCTTGATTATAATTAGGTCCTAATTACTAATAACCGTCATTTCAGTTTCAACTTGTGATGATAATGAACAGGGATTTCAAGCTCTGAGTTGGATATATTTAGTGACTTGATTAGAAATCAGAACTCATTTGTTACCTTGTGATGAAGCATGTCACTTGTGGTGGTCGTGTGATTAGAGGTATTTTCAACCTGGATATTATCTGTGATGACATCGTAATCAGCTCAAACTACTCAACTGATGATATGAACTAATTTACTGAATTTCAATAATTAATTGTCATCATGGACCAGTGCTTCAGGAAGACTGGAATGCTGATGTACTGAAGAAGTGATTTTATTGATGAATTTGACTCGCTGAAAAACACTGACAGATCACAAAGAAAGTACTTGTGTCACAGAATTTAACTGGAGAATTATTTACTATATATGGTTTGGCTTTGTATTAGTACATGAATTCTGTTACCTAAAATTAGACTGAAAGTCTGACAACAGAGCAGCATAAAGGCATTTATCACAGAACACAGAAATTCACTGGAGAATAATTAGCTATTTTGTTGTCTCGGCATCATATATGAATTTATTGACCTTGAAGTAGTATAAGCTACTAAAAAAAGAGAGAAAAAAAAGCAGACAGACCAGACAAATCCATTGGATTTTCAGCATTTCATGAGGGAATAATTAACTTCATTGCACAGAGAATTGAAGCACTTCACTGTAGACTGTAATGTGAACAGTGCATTGAAGAGCCCAGGATCAGTTCAAGCCATATACAGCTAATATTACAGACAATCACATCAAGTTTATTGCACAACAGTTTGGCAGTTCATCTGAAAGAAGATATTTTGAGGCAACAGACTGATATATATATATATTTCACTGCAACAGTCCAAAACCTCCCTAGTCTTGGTACATATCAGGAGAAGATGAGGGGTGACCCCGTTCTGTCTGTTAGTCAGTGTCTCCTGTCAGCTGTGTCACCAGTGTCAGATGTCACTCTAATGTCTCCTGTGTCTCTTATTTCAGTATATCAACTGCAGCAGCAAGCTCCACAGCCAGTATGTGTGGCATGCCAGAGGCAGGTGGGTGAAGTATTATTCTATAGTCAAGTTATTCCTATATTTATTTATTAACTTATTTTTGTTGATTAAACTTCAACTGTTGAGAGTAAAAATATGGTAAATATCAATTTTAGCCTTCCCGTGGCCTTCCTTTTATATATAGAAAAATTGTTATTCCAGTCTTGTATATACTTATATTTCAATAGAAATCAATTAAATTAGTTTTTATTATACGTGTGATATAAGATGCATGTTAAGCATATTAGAGAGGGATTTTTTAAAAAAATATTTTATTTGGGGCAAGGGTAGAGGGAATGAATTTTAAAGAAATTCTGAATTGGTTAATTTACTATAACTGCCTTTTGCTGTACACTAGCGCCAGTTTTGCTGTCCACAGTGGCACTGAAATCTTACCATTATAAACCTGTGTACATGTGCATGTAGCTGTTACCGTCACTCAGTTTGAACTGAAAACACAGAGGTTGCCATGGTAACATGATTGAAAACAATGATGTTGTCCAGATCTTTAGTGGGCAGGGTCTTGTTTTGGTCTCCTTAATGTGTTTACCAAGTTAGAGATTACTATTTTAGGGTTAGAGTTTCAGAATTTTTTTTACCATATTTTGGCAGTGTTCTTTACAGGATTGATTTAGATATGAAACCAGGAAGCTAACATCAAACGATGAAATGAACCCTTAAAAGGAGCTGCCACAGTGCCTGAGACTTAAGAAATCCCCAATTTTAAAAGAATAATGAATTTATCCATTGGTGATGTCATGTACTTCCAGTCTGACTTGGTCTGTACACAACTAAAAAGGAAAGATAGAACACATAAACTTGGAAGTAAAACTGGGTCAGGGAAAATTTCTGGCTCATATTTGACCTCATGGAATAGGAAGTTCTGTAGTCATTTATCACCTGTGCTTTCTTTTACCTGACTTCTTAGTTGTCCTGTGGTAGAAGGAACAAAGCTGTGTTTTCACTGAAAAATGTGTGTGTGTGTGTGTGTGTGTGTGTGTGTGTGTGTGTGTGTGTGTGTGTGTGTGTGTGTGTGTGAGAGAGAGAGAGAGAGAGAGAGACTGTACATTGATGGTAAAAAAGAATTACTATAAAAAGGCCTTGAAATGAACCAAGGCAGAGCTACCAATTATTTTTCTTGAGAAGGTTAATTGAAAATGTCACTTCAGTTTTATCCATTGAAAGCACTGGCTGAAAAGTTTTTGAACACATTTGTCACAAAACTCCTATTGTATCACTTTTTTGTCTTGTTTATATTGTGATTCAACTCATATTTATCATACTATTCCTTCCTTTAACATTGCTAAGGTATTGTGAAACTGCAAAAGTTGTTCTTTCAGATTTCTATTTTTGTAGTATGTGATAGCTGATAGAATGGTTGTTTGATGAAATATTTCAAATTATTAATGTCTACAGAATATGGTCTCAGCACAAGTCTTATGACAGTGCTTGATTTGTAGCTGAATCATTCTCAATATTTGATTTTCATTTATATTTAGTTCACTGCCTTTATGTAATATGAACATCTGTCGTCTTGTCCTTAAAGTCAGGCATCTTTTGTGGATTATCAGATGATAATCACATTTCACCCAACTGCCAGTGATAAGTTCATTAACAGAGCTGGGGAAGTGTGGATTACAACTAAGGGGGAAATTAGATTCTGTCTATCTGATGACAGTTGGCATGGGTGGGATTACTATCACGCTCTTATATTTTCAAAAAAAAAAAAAAAAACTTCAAATAACACCTGGCAATAAAATGATGTAAAATGTGAGGGTAGGATTTCAGTTTGCCATTGAATTCAGCCAAAATGATTATTTTGATAAAAAAAAAGATAAAAATGATGATGACACAGATGTGATCCCTTCTCCACATTCTCTCTCCATTTTGAGCATTCACTTGTCTCTTAAACTTTTAAATGAGCTGAATATTTATAGCTGACAGAGACCAAGCAGAGCTATAGATTTCCAGTGGAAAGACTTGTGTTTGCCCAAAGTCTGGAGACCACTGTGGATATCATATTTAGCCAGTGGTCAGATTGGGTGGTATTTCCACCAGGACGAACTTAAACTTAAAAGGGCGCATTCCCATAGATTTTAGATCGATCTATCCCTATGGGGAGTCTCACTAGCTTACTGTCAGATAATCCGGCTTAAATGTCTGTCCCACCTACTTCAAGCTGTAAGGGGGGGGATTAACTTTCGTTCCCTAATCTCTGGGAATGGGGTCTAAATGCTGTCATCATATCAGCTAAAATGTTTAACATGTGAGGGTTATCTTTTAAGGAGTAACAAAAGTCTTTTTCTGTAGTAGTTGCCTCCTGATGTAATTAAAAATATTTTCAGTTAAGTTAAAGCAGTTTTGAATGCAACCTTTCAAACTTTGTAATGATTTCCTTTTACTGATTGCAAAGTGCGTGGAAATTAACATCTGTGAAATATAGAGCTGAGTTATTTAAGGCAGAATTTTTTCAAGTAAAAAAAAAACCTTTACAACACTGCATTCATAAACATTATTCTAGAGCATTATAGAAGGGGGGGGCACAGAAGGATTAGATATGACCCCTTGGTGGTCTAGTCATAGCCATACAGCCGTCAGAGGTAGTTTGAACTAAGTTAAGCCTCCACAAGTGTACTGGAAATGCAGCTGAACCTGACCTTTGTATATCAGCAGATATGGGAATGCTTTTCTGGTTATACCAACTCCATTTGGGTACAAAAGACTGTAACCTTTGCTGGTGTCCCTGATTTTGCCATTAGGAGAAAGTGGGGTTATCCTCAGAGTAATAAATCTCCTGTTTCTATGATCAGGGTATTATGAATATAGAGATAGAATGATGTGGGGGGGGGGGGGGGGGGGCTGATCGATATAGTGGCAGTAATGATAGATTTATTCAGAAATTTATTATAAGACCCTATTCCTGTAGACATCTTTGGTCTATGTAGAACTATCCAACTCTGTGGAGACTGTGTGCAATGAATTAAACTGAATGACACACCTTCTTTTGTTTCCAATGTACTTGTGATATCACCAGCTTTTTTGTACTCTACTTAATGTCAGATATGTTAATCAATTAGCATTCAGCGAGAGTCCCTTTGTCTATGGGAATAGGGCCTAAGTATTACTTATGATAATGAAGGTGCATAAAATTTTTGAGATATATTTCAGAATTTTCAAAGCAACAGGGCTATATCATAAAAAAAGATTTCAATGTAACAAGTTCCCCACTAACCCGGCACTTCCCTGTGAGGGTTCCATTTCCACAAATTAGATTTGACATTAAATAATCAATGAGTTTCAATGCAGCAGACTTTTCATTGATTCTCTTCATTTAATTACGCACCGGCATTCAGGAAGATATTCTAGAGTACGACCTTCTGACCTGCTGGTGCATTCTCACCAGGTCTAACTTATAGATAAATTAGGCTAAATGACATCACCAGAAATCCAGATTACATGGTCAGTGTAATGATTTAGCTTAGCAAGCACCATCTCAATAAGTCTTAGAACATTTCAAATCATGGGAAGTCAACCTTTTCAAACTGTTGTCCTACGTACCTGACGTTGAATTGGCTTTCTAGTTTTATGTTAAAAACTGCATGTAGTCACGTCTACTTTGAAAGTACATAAACTGCAATGGAAAGGTGATGTTACAGATGTAGACTTTTTAGATTTCATGAGTGGGAAAGAGGTTACTGCATGCTTCTCTTTTTGACTTCTCTGTGTATGTCAGACTCTTTCTCAAGACATAATGGAGTAATAAAATCCTGTTACAAGTTGGAGCCAAGATCAGCATTTTTTTCATGTCACTTTACAGGAGAAGTGAAGCATAGAAAATGCTGCCACAGGATCTGCTTCAGGGATAAAGATGTATTCCAACGATTTCCTGTTTTTTTTTTTCCAACCAGAACTTTTCGTACATTAAAATTTTCTCCTTCTCTCTTCCATCTTTCTTAATCCCTTCTATTTTGTTAACAATAAGTAAATTGTATCTTATTTTTTCTGTTCCTATTCTGAGGGGATTCTGACAGACCGACTGACAGACAGACAGACGGACAGATAATTGTACAAGTTTCCTCATCTTACTAGACAATAGAACCAGCGTGTAGTGAATACACTGTAGCACTTGTGAAGCCACACTGTACATGCCTGTATTGTAAACTCATGCATTCACATGAAGATGGTAACATTATTAATATTATTTCAGACATGAATTAATACACGTCAACCCTGTTATAACACAAAGTGTCAGTTTAGATTGTAGAGTCTTTTATTGATCTGTGTTTTCCATGGACGGTCATATATTTATCAAAATAATATTTGAGTTGTGTCAAGCCACCATTAAACCATATCAAGTGTGTGTTTGTGAGATGTTAACACAAAGTGCACATGATGAGGTTTGTGGATTTCCCCCACATTAAGCCAGCTGTGGATGATTGATTTTCCAGCTGTAGTAACTGAAGACAGATCAATATTTCATGTTATCTTATCTGAAGTAGGGCTGAATGGAAGGAGGGGGGAAGAGCAGTTGTTGGAAGATCCACACTTCCTCCCCTAGATCAGACCCCTTCCACTTTCCATTCAAGATTTCTGATAGAGATCTTTTATTTCATGTCATTATTCATTTTTTTTTTCAAATTCAGTTATTTCATTTTTGGGGGGTGGGGGGTTAATGGCAGACAAAAGTGGAGAGGAATTTGAACTTATTTATTCCCATTTTGTGAAAAGTTAAATACTGTAACAGTACTAAGTGTAAAATCTAAATATTTATCCTTCATTTTTAGCTTCCAAACAGACCTTCTTTCTATGGACCAGAGTAAGTATACTTCTGTCTGAGTGATTACAGACGTAATGATGTTCTCTCACTTTAATGCTTAATCATTTTTCTCAGTAAATTAATATAAGGTGACTTTCTAGACCACTTCTTAGCTGCTGTAATAAGTTGTTTCAGTAAATTATTTCTTAAAAAATTTAATTTTTGGTAAAATAAATGCCTAAATAATCTGTTTTAGAAAAAATGATTCTCTCTCTCTCTCTCTCTTCTCTCTCTCTCTCTCTCTCTCTCTCTCTCTCTCTCTCTCTAATGTATAATTTTCTCACTGTTATAAATGCCCTCCTCATCTCTGTGTGCAGGTTTCATGGTGCGATATCACGTGAAGACACGGACAGGCTGCTACACTGTGATGGCTGCTACCTGGTCCGCGAGAGTCAGCGCGCCCCTGGCACCTACACACTGGCCATCAGGTAACGCACAACGTTGTTTATTTTTGTTAACTTTTCTTTAGAAAAATTAAATATTTGTCTAAAAAAGTTTGCTGGAGTGTCCATTCTATATGCTTATAACATTACAATATATTTTAAGCCGAAGCTAGTACATATTGTCTAAATAAAGACATTGAGCTTTAATTATCAATAATAGATATGAAGAAAAGGATAAAAATGTATTATACATGTATATTATTTCTTAACTTTCCTTAGAAAGTATTTAACATTTTGTCTATAAATGCCAGTCTAGAGACTAAGCAAATACTGCCACCAGACCTTGAGATAAGATGAGGCTCAAGTTTATTATCATAATGGATATTTGTTGTCTGCCATCTTGGGTGAGGTTCTATTGTTGAGATTATGTCAGGACTTCAGCTCTCTCTCCTGTGATAATACACAGTAAGGGATGGATGGACAGATAGGAAACTGGTGTCATTTTTCTGTTTTCCAGTCTGAAAACTAGAGGCCTGTTCATAAAATTTCAGTAATGTGAATTAACTAGGTTGTTGATGTCGTAGGACTATTAAATAATAGATATCCCAAGATATCAAACGCGCTCTCACAGACACACACAAACACACATGCACACACACCAAATATAAGACTTATGAATTCCATATTAAGCATTGAAGTGGCCTTGTGATCCCAGTTGGTCAGTTTATGGTTTAAGTTAGACTTGATGTGAACACAGCCTTAATATAAGAATAGAGGCACAGACAGGGTGATTTAGTAGGTTGGGTAGGGGAAATCTTTCCTACATATCAAAAATAAAACAGAGAAGTAATAAGGATGCACTTTAAAATATATGTAAAAAAGTTCAACATCATTACTGACTATAGTTTCTGTGGTAAAATAATGTTAAGAAGGGTATTTTTGCTTCTTCTCCCTGCCTCTCCCCCCTTCTGTCTGGCAGTGTTGTAAGCCCCATAAAACACATGTAGTGAACACAAACACTGATATGATTGTGAACAGTATACGTATGTATAACTGTGGAGATACACACTCAGGGTGAAGCTGTAACACTGATAGTATTGTGAGCACTTTATGTCTTCAGAGACAGACAGTAACTAAGGTGTTGGCTTGTGCTGTACAGTTGATAGCTCAACAGACTTCAGATAGATCCTGTGTTGTTTGCAGTCTTGCGGGTGCTCGCTTCATTCTGTCAAACAAGACATTAAGGACTGTGCTCTGGATCATTCTCAACTAAAGAACTGAAGTGTTCTTATTCCACGCTGTTATTGATTACCACTTTTGAATGTTTTGCAGATTTGAGTCAAATACCAAAAACTTCAAGCTTTATTATGATGGACAACATTATGTCGGAGAGAAGAGATTTGACAACATAAATGACTTGGTCGCTGATGGACTTATAACTTTTTATTTGGAATCTAAAGCTGCTGACTACATCGCAGCGCTCTCAAGTCACTCAAATTATGAGGAGTCGCCATACTTAGCATATAACACGGCAAAGAAACAGAGAGCACAGGCGACACGGAGTCGTAATCACGTGAAGCGCAGATTAGTAAACGAGACGGCACAAGCTAATGCTGTAACACAGGAAATATCCACAGTAAGTGCAAGAGTGATTCTGGATTTCAGTGTTGGATTTTATTTTGTCCTTGTTTCAAAGTTAATGCATTAACAGTGTTACTGAATACAAAAAAAAAAAAAAAAAAAAAAAAAACAATCTGGGTTTTGATGATCAAGTTGTGCAAAATAAATCACTTAGTATTGAGCTAGTGCACTTTTCATCTGATGCTGCGTGTGTAGATGCATCATTTGTTTGCAAAAATGTTGAAATATCAAGGGTCCCAATCGTATCAATTTTAAAACAATTCTGCTGTGATTCACTGATTTTGGATTTCCAATGTTACATTTATTTAGTATTGTTGTCACCAACTGATAAAAATTGTCTCAGAGTGTATTTTGCCTTCATTATCTTTCAGCTGGGGACTGACAGTGTAGACGCTGTGCCTACATCTGACCAGGTGAAACAGTATGAAAAACCACATGTATTCAAGGTGAGCCTTTTGAATACTAACTGCTACAAAACTCAAGACTTTTTGTTGTCCATACATATATAAAATATCTCAGAACTTTGAAGATATTTACAATTCTGTATTAATTTTATCACCCAAAAGCTTTACTAGTAGATATAATTGCTGATATATTATACAGTTATAGACTGAGCATGGAAATTGTCAAGGGAAATAGTTTGTCCTGAGAGGAGTTGAATTGCTATTTCCTGAGGATGTGGTCGGGTTTATAATACAAATACTAATAGTACTTGTGCTTTTATCTGTGTCAGAGGATCTGATTGTAACTGTTAATAAAACAATTTTTAATTATTCTATTTGAAGAATAGACACCAAATGAAATACATGTATACAATATGAAACAGAACATGTGCTAATCATCTCGTAGGACGGACTCAGTTTTATGTAATCATGCAATTATCTTTCATCATTTCAGACGCATAATTTCAAAGGTCCACATTGGTGTGATTTCTGCGCCAACTTTCTGTGGGGGTTGATAGCCCAGGGCGTCAAGTGTCAGGGTAGGCATGGGGGGGGGGGGGGGAGGCTCTGTATGATGAGACATGAGTTTTTTCCACATTTTTTATTTCAATTCTAAGGCGGTCCCCGGACCTGTGGCTGGTTAGGTGTTGCGTCCCATGATAAATGTTCAGGGTTTTTTTTTTTTTTTTTTTGAAACCTAGGCTCATGTCTGATGATACTAAAAAGTTAAAAATTGAAGGACAAAAACAAGCAAACAAATGAAGAAATAGATAGGTGAATAGCAAAAAGATTCAATAGAACTTTAACCAATTAGTAAATTGTCAAACATTGAACTGACTAATGTTTTACAAGAGAAAATGACATAAATTAAGTATAGTGGTTGCTATGATTTCTTTTGTTCAGATTTCCAGCAGTTTTGAATATTTTAATCTTTCCCCTTTCAGATTGTGGTTTTCAAGCCCACAAAAAGTGTTCAGAGAAGGTCCCCCATGACTGTCTGCCGGACGTGAAGTATGTGAAGCGTGTGTTTGGTACTGATCTAACCACGCTGGTGAAGACACATCAGAGACACGTACCGGTGGTGGTAGAAAGATGTATCAAGGAGATTGAAAATAGAGGTATGCTGAAATATTAACGTCATTTAGAGAGGGTAACTTGCTGACCTTAAAGGGATAATAACTCTTCGTTTCGTCCAAAAAATGAATTTTCCTGGAGTAACCAACAATTTTCCCATACTTACCAATGGTTAATGAATCCATTTTTACATTCAAAGTAAGTCCCTGGTTTTTTTCTAAAAAGTTTGGTTTTTTGTTAAAATCTGTTAAGAGATTTTAACAGAGTATAGCCATCAATGGAGGTCACGTGGTCTAAAGACAAGCTCAGATATCAGAATAATAGCTATAACTGCCGTTTTTGTGGTAAAACAGAATATATTATATTTCTATGAGTTATTCACAATGTTTTTATTGTGAAATATAGATTTCATACGAAGAGTTATTATCCCTTTAAGTCTCACAAGGGCCCACTGGTGTCTGACATAGAGTAGGATGTCCCTTAATCCCGCCTTTGGAGTGGGGCGTCCCGTATTTCCACCTTTTTGAGTGGGACATTGGGCTATCCTATCTTATGCGTTCAGATTTGTGATTCAGTGTGAAATTGCTCACTTGAGTGACTTGCAAGAGAGTTTCAAGGTATATATTGCAAGAGTGTGGCAGTGTATTATTTGTTATGCATACTCAAAGAAAGTACATTTCACCAAAAAAACATCCCTAAACCAAAAAAAAAAAGCATGTATCGCCACAGTCATATCGCCATTCATCTTGTGGAAGTATTTTCCCACGGCTTTGGTCTAAACACGACATATATTTGAACGGGAATTTGAGCATGCTGCAACTGGACCATTGACCTAGCACATGTCACTATTTTTCCATGGATGTTCAATTTTACTCCAAGACTCTTCCAATTGCAGGTTTATCAGCAGAAGGTCTGTACAGGGTGGCTGGTTTCCATGACGATGTGGAGGCTATCAAGATGGCCTTTGATAAAGGTTGGTTCAAGAGATGTGGTTTCTGGCACTCTCAACATTTGTTTTATCATGTGTTCAACTTTCTTGGCACCAACAATTGGTTTTGAAGCCAAGTTTTCCAATGGAGCATTAGATATGTACTTTTGTTTTTTGTTTTTATGCAATTTTTGTGGTTTTCCTCGTCAAAGCAGACAACATTTTTATACGCCATTTCACAAAAAGTAATTCTCTGAGTGCTGTCAAGGAGGCTCACATTTTGTGTAAAAGTTCAATGACTATTTTGTTACTTTTAATTCACTGTTGTTTTGTTATTGGAGAGTATTAATAGTCTTCATAGAGTGTTGCAGTAGTCACAACCTCTGAAGTGATCATTCCTAATCAAACTTCAATGAATTTCAGTGAATTTTGTACTCATTTTGAAATGTGAAATCATTAAGATTGTAAATACCTATAGTATGTATTTTCAGAAAACCAATATAAACACAATTTTCTATTGATCAGTGATATAACCATATTTTTCCAGATGTTGAAAATGCAGATATCAGTTCAAAAAAATATGATGACATCAATACTATAGGGAGTGTGTTGAAGCTGTATTTCCGGCTTCTTCCTATCCCACTGTTAACATTTGAGACATATCCAAAGTTTTTGGAGGCAGTCAGTAAGTATTGGAACTAAGAGACCTCTTCCTTTCCCTCAGAGTTTTATTAAGTTTAGCTCCTTGAGATAGAAGCTAATTTTATGAAATTCAGTGAAACTGAATGCAGTGTCCTATCAGATGAATTCATCAATCTTCCTATGCCATATTTCAGAGAAGGAGGGTATTTCAGCCAGCGAGAGACTTCAGGTGGTGAAATGTGCCGTGAACCTCCTCCCTCCATCACACTATCACACTCTCAAGTTCTTGATGAAACACTTGCAGAAGTAAGACATTTACCAGTATGGCATTGGTATCTGATCTTTGACTTAAAAAGAATGCCTTTTCATCAGGACTAACTTATAGCTGAAATTGACTAATTGACATCATAGTGATAAAGTTTGAACGTCTTAGGGGAAAAGAAAGTAGGGGGGGGGGAACTTCCTGAAGTAAAATGCTATTTTTTGTTTGTAAAAAATTTTACAGTCAAAACTTCATTTACCATTTTTTAAACAGTATAATGTAGTTGTTAGCCAGATTTTCAACAATCATTTCTACTTTGTAATGAATAAAAAATATTTAAAAAGACAATTATGTAAAAGACAGTCATATAATACATTTGGGTAGCACACCTTGTGGTTTTCAGTTTAATATTGATTCACTACCTATCATGTTAGAACAATATATAGATAAGACCTTTGAAGAAAAAGATAACCGATACACCAAAATAAGATCAATATGTTTGTAGCCCAAAAATTTCATATGATTTAGACTTTTAGTCATTGGTGTAATGTTAATCAAATGTCTGGCCATTTTCTTCAGGGTGACAGAGAAGAAGAGTGTCAACATGATGGGACCTGAAAACCTGGCGACGGTGTTTGCACCAACACTTCTACGTTCCCCAGATAGTGATCCTCTGGCCAGCCTCACAGCCGTTAAGTATGAGCGCGAAGTCATGGAGTTACTCATTACCCACCAGGAGGCGCTCTTTGACAAGAGGTCAGTGGGGAATGATTAAATCAGCGAGTCTGTTTTTGGTTCGATTAAGACAGCTTTCTGGGCATTCTGGAAGATTCTATTATATCTCACTGAAGCAGTGACAAATTAAGAATGGCAGACGTTATTTTTAATTCCTAGAAAACATTGTGCAGAATCATTCATTTCTCTTTTATAAGACATAATTTCCAAAAATCAGTCTCCTATCATTCTGCGGCAGATGACAGATTGATAACATGGCATGTACTGGTTTACACAGACATGGGGAAACTTTGGATGTACTGAAGGTCTGGAGGAAATCTGCAGGTTTCTCCATGCCTAGTTCACAGTTTTCATACTAAAAGACTGCATTAAATTGTATGTTTCTGTCAAAGTGTTTTTATATAACTATAAACAAAGAACCCGGCTTATACAAAAGAAGCCAGAAAACCACTGGAGCTGGCCTGGCTTGTGATCTGCTTGTGCTGCCATCTTTTGAAGTATTGCTGATGGTAGAAATATTTCTGTCGTATCACCAAGACCAGCGCACTGGTTTAAGGTGGACAAAAAATTAGTTTTGAAGGTTTCACATGTTGATCAAGATAACAGGTCTGAAACAGGTCTTCCCTAAAGATGTTAATAAATGGGTCTGTCAGAAGCTCTATGAGAACAAGCAGTATAAGTCTGACACAACTTCAGTCACATCAGCCCCTGCCTGTGGAAGACTGCAGACATGGAGAGCTACATTGATAAAGATTTTCTACTTTAGTGTTTAGAGAACTTCTCTTCATAAAATGTACAATTTTTTTTTTTTTTTTTGAAATCTCATCAGGAAAATGCATGCTGCAGATATGATTTTTTTTATCCACCGGCACCTTTTCTCTCCTTGCTCAACTCTACATCCCCCTCCTGATTATGGAAAGATCCATTTTTCCAAATGTCTTGTTTAGAAGTTCTATATTTCCTTCAAAAGTTGTGTTGGACGTATTTCAGAAATTTACAAAGCGTCTTGCAAAATTTCATTCATTGATAGATGTTGTACTGTTTCATTTTCTTAAATTAGCATTTTCTCCAAAACATTTTGTATAACATTGAATAATCATGTGCATCAAAACAGTTGTATTTCTTCTCATTTTATTTATTTTCTAAACTTATGTCTTGAAAATAGTCCCTTTTGATTATATTGCAGAGCAATCTTGAAATAAAAAATTCAATGTTGTAGATGTGAGCATAACTTTATATAAATAGTAATATAATGGTATATACAAGTGAAAACATAATTAATGTCTTATATAGAAGTGATTTACAATCATGTCAGACTTTGAGAGAGAAAAGTTCAGAAGTGAATGGTGAGCACCGTTCAGAGACCATGACAGCTTGTCAACATACAAACATTTTGAAACCTTGTATTTGAAGGAAATCATGACAAAGAGAAAGAAAGGCATCTTGTGCTATAATGTAATAAACTAAATGTTACTGGAAAAGAAGGCATTTTGTTTTATTATGTAATAGTTGAAGTTTAATGAAGCAGTAAAACTTAGTTGTCCTTGTTGAGATCAAAATCATGACATCAGATGGGTCAGTATGTATTGTATTCAAAGGCAAAGAATGTTTAGTTTTTATGTACAGACACTTGCTTAAGCCACTTAAAATACTCACTGGTTAAGGTGTATACCAGACAATAATGATGTGTTATATGATAACACTAGACAGGGTGCAATATGAACCATTCTGATAGTCAGAACACAGTTAACTACCACAATAAATACCATGAACTGGTGGACAGAGACGTGGTGATCATGATGTCTTAGTTCTATGGTTAAGAAAAAAATGTAAAGAATTACATTTTTTATGATAAGATGGCTACGATTTCTTGAAGGATAACTGAAAATATCTTTAGCAGGAACTTCATTTCGTCTACATCCATGTTCTCATGATATGGTGGAAAGTATTACAGAGTGTTGGTTTGGTTGAGATTGATAAGCAATTAAGGTCAGAAAAAGACTTTTTCTTTCCTTGTAAGTTTAACAAAGTTGCTTCCTTGTAACTGGTTGTTTTATTACTTTTCTTAATCTTATAGGAATCAAAAAGTTGTGCTTATATAACTGAAGAAGTATTACTTATAGGTGTGTTACTTTTACTCAGTATCTTAGATAGCATGGAAGTTGTGCCTGTATAATTTAGACATAACGTGTTCCTTTAAGATGAATTTGCAAAGTGCATTTTACTTTATTTGCAGTAAATTCTGACTTGCAGCTGAAGAATTATTATATGAATTAATTAATAGTTAATTGATTAGTTGAAGGGTAAAGTTGCATATTATAATTTTTATACTTTGTGATTTATCATTAAGTTAACTGATAGTATTATTAATGGAACAAGTGATTTTGAAATAGAATTTATTTTTTTGCTCAATATTTTCTGTAGATTTTAATGGAGGTGCAAGGAATTTTCAATTCATTAAAAGAACATACTTCTTTTTGCTTGTTGTACAAGTCTGTTTTATGGCCTTCTAGCTATTCTCATTTCAGTTATGGTGGATATAAAGGTATTCATTATTAGATTCAGATTTCAGAGTCAGTGTCTAATAAAATCAACTGCCTAAATACATGTGTATCAGTCTATAATTGTGATGAAAATTTGTTTGAAAGATTTCTTGTAGTTTAGTTTGATTCTTTTCCTATTAATGCTTAATGGAAGAATATATTATTTCAGTTGAAATTCAGTGTAACTGTATTGTGGATGTAACACTTTTAAAATAAACCAAAAAGATCTTCAATATTAGATAATCATCACAACTTTGCTACAATGTTAGCATTGAACAAATGATATTTATGTTCGAAGGATTTTCCTTTTGTCAAACTGCTTCCAGTTTAGCATGAGATATAGCATGCCTCTTATATTGTTATAATTATTATTAATATTATTATTATTATTATTATTACACCATTTTTGTTGTTAATAATCAGTGTGAAGAGAAGACATGGTGTATGTAGACATAGGTTGTCCTGGCAACCACCCTTTGCTGTCATTATTACAACTTCCACATTCTAAATGTTGTGTGTCACATGTGGAAGGACAGACCTAGTAGGATTTTGTACATGTCATTTATTTTAATAAACTGTTCATAGAAGACATCAGGTGGTTAATGTTGGTTTATTTCTTTTTGTTAATGTCATGTTCAGAAATAATGTGCTAGGCAGACCTCAAATAAGCATCTTGATGAGGTGATCAGGTTTTATAAGTAAACGGCTTCCATTCATCCTTCTTCACTTCTCTGCAAAAAGGTTTGATTAGAACTACTACATGTGATTCTGAAGCCAAGACAAATTCTCCCCCCCCCCCCCACCTTAGACCAAAAAGATCATCCTGGTTTTCAGTGTGATATCCTGTGAGCTGTAAAATGACTGTTATTTCATGTTGTAGTAAGTTGATGTGTCAGATTGTTGGAAGAATCAGAGTCCAAACTTTTGTTTTAAATTAAATATCAGAACTAATCTATTGTTTCTGTGCTCAGTATCACTATTGGTGCAATGAACATTCAGAGATGATCCTGACTACATTGTCTACTGTCACATCCAGCACAATGTTTACCTGTCACAACTAACACAATGGCCACCATGGCGTCTGGCAGACAACATTGCGTGACAAATCACCATCACTGAACCATGAAGTGGCTGTAATTGCACAAGCAGACAAAGAACTTGTCTTCCTCAAGTTACTTTTATGTTAATTGGATATGATATAGAAAAAGATGGATAAAGGATGCTTGGCAGTTTATAACTAAGCACTGTGTTTTGTTGTTTTGAAGCACAAGAAAAAAAAGACATTTAGAATGAAAAATGAAAATGCACCATGCCACAAAGTTTGCCCTCAGTTTTAATACTGTTTCTATAGTGACCAATGTTACTCAACCTTAGTCATCCCATCAGACTGGGCTGCTGATGAATTTTTCATATTATTTAAAACTAATTTTTTATTGAAACCATTGATTGACATAAAAACTGCATCATTTCTCAGGGTTTTAGTTAACTTGTGTGTGTGTGTGTATAGTAGGGGGACTGGTGAATTTAAATTTTCATAGACTTGAAAAATTAATGTTTTGTGAAAACTTTTCAAATAATGAAAAATTAATGTTTTGTGAAAACTTTTCAAATAATGATATTAACAGAACCATTTCCTGTTCTTCCAGTGTAAGTATGTAGTAATATTTCCTGTTATTCACTATATAACTCTCACTCACAAGGGAACAACAAAAGGTGTATGACAATTGAGACGGGAGAAAAAAAAAACATTTTCCTTCATGAATTCTGGTCCCTGTCTGACTTCATAAAGAGTCACTTGTTAACAAGTGGTCCCCGCCCTGTTTTAATGAAAATAAACAGCCTCAGTAAAAGTCCTAATATCAACAACTGAAGGTCGATTTTGTCACAGCATTTTGATAAAAATGAACTCCTGCGGCAATGTCAGCGTCATTGGCCATAATCGCCTGCACAAAGGCAGAAAGCAGCCCCCTAATAGTCCACAATGCCAGCTTTACACAGGTGCTTGTGAGCTAAAGCCAAGCTTCAATGGGCGGTCTGTATGGTGACAAAAGCCTGCAGAACTGGATCAATTATTTACCAGTGTTTTGTACAGTCTAAGAACAAATTTAGCATTGAATAGAAATCACCTTGGTCCAATATGGGTGCATAATTGGTAAGAAGGCTCTATTGTGTATTCATTGTCAGGGCCCTTATTTATAAAGCTGGTTGTATTTATCATGGATAATGGGTAATCAGTGTTGTGTATTCATGATTTGTTGAACAAAAGCAAAAGTAATAAGCCCTGAATGAGAGTAAGCATAATCAAGGTAGATATTGGCTGAGGTTTACTTAATAGTCTATAGGGGTGACAGCACAGATGGAGAAAGTCCATTACTTTAATATACTTCACATTAACACTTAAGGATGGGGTTGTCACCAAGAATGACATCTCGCTTTAAGTCTGTTATTTGACAGGTGGTCCAGGCATGGAGTGATATTGATCACTTGATAAAAAAGAAAGTGAAAAAATAATTGTCACGGTGTGTCCTGTCGCCCCTTTCCCAGGTAAAACTTCCGTGAGTCTTTTCACCTGATCTGCTGCGACCTTTATTTGCTAACAAAGTCTGTGAGACAGAAAGCAACCTGGCAGACATCTTGGAAGTTGAGTTGAATCCCGCCGTGACAATCTCTTCATGGACAACAGGTGATGTAGGAAGTGAAAAACTTTGCTAATACCGTCTGGAGGTGACTCATCCATTGTCACCTGTTCTTTCTAACCACCAGTTGTCAAGCCAAGGCCGACCTGGAAAAAGACATCAAGCAAAGGACGTTGTTGTCTGGAGACACATCTCACCGGGCTATCACCACGACGGCCCTACTGAAGGCTTCTCCCCAATCTTAAGTGGATTATCCTCTCACCGTCTCACCTGTCGCTGCGGACGGAAGCCGTGGCACCAAGATCTAGTGGACTAAGTTCTTAGCAGAGTTGACTTGGAGCTTACAGCCACTGGATAATCTGCTGTACAGTTAAGGTAAGTCTTAAACTTTTCTCTACTCACAGGATAACTCAGGACTAAGAGAGATGGATTTAGGATTTGATTGTACTTACAATTATGTGAACGTAATTGGATTGATTGGTTAATTTTATCAGTTATTTAAAAAAAACTGATGTGTTTGACGCTGTGCTCTTGTATGCAATGAATTCCCCATGTCTACACTGATGTTACACTTATTATCTGACACAGCTGGGGTTATAGATAGTTGAGCATTGACAAGTTGTCTTAGATAGTATTGAATTTATGCTAATTGATGGGAGTCTAGTTTAGAAACCAGATGTTGCCAGTCTTATTTTGTGTTTGTCTAATTTTTGTGTCAACACACAACTCCTATGCACTCCTTCACTCAGTGCAGTTATATGTGATATTTACCCTGCACTTGCCACCGAACATTTACTGGGTTAATTACTGACGTGTCATTGAACTGAATGACATAGCTCTCAAAAATCTCATTTATCTGGTAAACTCTAATTGTTCTTGTCACCTGAATTCACTATAAATACATTTCAATTATCTAGTGATTTAGGAAAAAGGTAATTGTAAGTGTCTGGGTGCACATTTCATGGTCTCTGAGGGAGAGGGCTGCGGGAGGTGATGGAGTAAAAAAAGACCTGCTCTGCTAGTAAGTAAATCAGTGTACTTAGAAGTCTCCAAGGAAATTGTGGTAAAAGTAGACATAAAAACCCCGCAGTGACTCAGTATGCTTGGTAAGGCTCTGAAGGATTTATTACAGCAAAATGTAGGTATGTTGTTTGCATTAAAACAATTAATGTCACTCATATCTGTACACGTTACTTCACAACAGCAGTAAGCAACAGTTTTCAGCATGGGAAAAATTAACCAGTTCTGATGAGTATGCTTCTTGTTAAATTTTATGTCAACAGTCACAAACTTCAATTTTCTTAACCATTATAACCCCATCAGGATCAAAAACTTTGCTAAATCTCTGAAGAAATATTATGGGTTTTAAAATAGTTTGTTGCTTGTTTGAAGGGACTGCATGCAAGATTGTGGTGTAAAAAAAAAAGAAAAAGGAAAAAAAAAAGAAAATGCAAATTTCAAAGTTTACAGGTGTCTTCAAAAATTTATATACTAATTAGCCAATTGTACTTATTCAGAAGATACAAACTCTACCATAGTATTATCCTACCAATGTTTAGTTTTGTCTGCTTTTTGCTTCAATAGACGCCAATCAGGTGAAAGTTTACAGACATCTCTCTCCTCTTCATTTTTTCATCAAGGGAATTAACTACATTATTACAGCAACATGGTAGCATGACTTGGGGATATACGTGTTAAAGCAGGAAAGGGAAACAGAAAGATTTAAGAGACATAAAATCTCATCCATTCTGTCTTCAACAGTGAGACTGCTTTGTGGGTTCTTTGCGTTAATCTACTAGTGTCACCATGGGAACACAGAATACATATTTATCTTCTGATGGTAGTTATCACAGCAGCTAAAACAAAAATCACTTATTAGAGCCAATATGGAAGAGTAAGTTTGTAAGAACTGGTGAAAAAAAGACATCAGACATTGCTGTCGTCTGCTGCACAAGTCTCACTTTTCTTCTTTTTTGTTTACCTGGTTTGAATTGGCTTCTCTTCACTTTTTCAGAAGATTATTTGCCAGCTCACAAAAAGCATTAAACCCTGTAAATATTTATTTAGTATAAAATGATTACTTTTTTCCTTCCTCTTAAATTGACTTGTCAAAATAAGCAAACATAAAACTGAGCAATTTTTTATTTTCTTTTTCATGTCTGTTTTCAATGATCAGTCAGAAAGTTGGGTCAAAGAGTCATGTTATATTAAATAAATTACGCTTTACAATGTAAAAAGACAAACATTTCAGCACTGGTCACAATAAGCATTTGATAATGCAGAGACACAGAATGCTCTATATTATATAATGTGTAAGGACAAACACTAGGTCTCAGTAATGGCGGGGTTTACCCTCGTCCTGCCAGGTAATGGCAGTTTTAGCGCCTTGGTGCACAGATAAAAGTCTATAAAATATGGAATGGCAGATTTTACACTTGATGAACACAGGTGATATTTTTGACCGTGTCAAGTTCAGAGGGGGGGGGGGGGGGGGGGCACAGCCTGCACCCCCTGTGATAGTTTATATTGAAGTTTTTTATAAAATGAAACTTTAAAATATTTACCAATTATTTGACTGACTAAAGGTGAATCTTGTTATTTAGTTGAACATAATGTCTGTTTTAGCAGACTGTTTCTTAAATATTCAGAGAAATATTTCAAAAAGTTCAACATCACACCATATATTTTCCCAAAGATTTCTTCACAGTTTGGTGAGAGGGTAAGGAGGAGGGGATATTTTGGACCCCTTTTTTTATCTTTTCCCAGATGTCATTGATCCAGAAACCTGCTATGACAGCTGTTGTCCAAGTTATCAGAAATCTATTTCATCTACAGAAAACTTCAGGTCATCTTTAGTTTAAAATCTAAAAGGTTAAGTTATTCAGCTGTAGAAGTCGTGACCCACACCTGTTGCCTCGTTCAATATACCAAAGAACACCACCTTACCACAGAC